TGGAAAATATGTGGTGTACGCATGCGCCAAAGTGCTGCGTCGATAAATATGTGTACGCGTGCGCAAAGTGCCACACGGGCAGTGTTGCCAACTTAGCGATTTTTTCGCTATATTTAGCGAGTTTTTAGACCCCTCTGGCGACTCGTTTTCAAAAAAGCGACTAGCGACAAATCTAGCGACTTTCTGGTGTTACTGGAGACTTCTGGAGATTCTGACGTGAAAGCACGTATCGTCCTTACTCTTCTCACCGGGCAGCGGGTGCTGCCGTGGGCTCCCCTCCCGTCCCAAAGCACTCACAGGTGGCCAGTCCGCGTGCAGCAGCCCCGCCCAGTTGCAGTCACAGCAGGAGATGTGCATCATTTTCTCACATTGCCATTGACAGTTTTTTTTCATTTGTCCTTTTTTGATCCGTTTATATTGTTAATGTAGATTTTATACAAAAAATGTTATGCTTAAAAATGTTAACGATTCACTTGTTTACTGTGACTTGTACACTTAAGCAAACCTAAAAAAGTAACTCTGCCAGAGTGTCTGTTTGGGGTCACTTTTGTCGGTGATATAAACGTATCTATGGAAAAACACTTTTTGTCTCTCCCACGACATTATTCGTCTCTCCTACAGTGTCCATTACAATTACATGCACATTATGCAAATGAGGCGATGGCGTCATTTAGCGACTTTTGGGACAGCCAATAGCGAGTTTCCTTGCTGAGGAGTTGGCAACAATGCGCACGGGTGCGCCCAGTGGTACGGGAGCTGTAGTGAGTGTGCCGAGGAAAAGCTTGCCGTTAGCTCGCCGAAACCTGCGGAATTTGCCGCTGATGCTCTCATTTAATCCATAATAGCACCGAATGTTGTTTACCTCAGTTATTTTAACAAGGATACTGTGAGTCAACGAATCTTCGGACAGAGTCTTTGGTCTTAAGTCCCGAATGTCATAAGCTTCAAGCAGCAACCACATCATAAACTACTTTTCTTACCCACGAATTTGACATCGCGACATGGAGTTTCCAGTCATCTTTTTGATTTTCATTTGTTTTTCTGTAGCTGAAAGTGGTGAGCTCTTTTTTTCTTGAATTGAAATGCTAGATTTAGGATCAATAACACGCAAGGCGTTAGGCCTAAAATAAAACGGGTATTACAAACTGGTTATTTCACTTTGATTGTTTTATGATCCCTCCCCTGCGGCTTACGTTTTTTTATAGTCTTAAATACTGAAATGCTGTAAAACGTGTTTTCTTTACGTTGTGTCGTTAACAGCATTTGTAGTGCTGCGACATGTACGATTTATTGCAGGGCAAAATAACTATGTGCTGACATTTGTAAGTTTAATCATTTATTATGTAATGTAATAGTTAAAATGTACGGTATTCCTTTTGGTTTGACATTTTATGAAATGTTTGAACCACGTGATTTGTGTATTCAAAAGATTTTGTTTTGGCATCACATCAATGTCAAAACTAGAGGGCGATAAAACACAAAATATAAACCTGTAAGCTTTAATATTTTGCGTGCGTAAATATTGCAAGTGGGGATGCAGGGTTGCCAACTTTGGTCACCTGGCTGGCGTGAGATTTTCTATTCGAAACAATCTGCACAAACATTTACGTGTAGGTAACACTCAGTTTTATTACCTTGTAAATACTCTGTAGGGTTTGCAAATTACCCCAACGCTTATGATGTAGCTAATTTTAGGTTTATAATGGAATAATACAGACTTGCCGTAAGATCTCTTTCGTGAGCGCGCGTCAGAAAGCGTGTCACGCCAGATGCGCGAGATGGCAACCCTGCAGAAGTGAAACTCGCGAGCACGTGCGCGTGTATCATAATATTGCGCTATGGCTAGTCAAGTTGTCTTTTATTAGCATGAGGCTTACGCGGCTTACTAGTAAGAATATGAATTCCAGATATCTACAATGCGATTCTACTAGTAGAGAATCATCTTTTTTTCCAAGTGAGAATTGTATTTTTACTAGTAAGAATTTGTATTGTAGAGCTCCGTAATTCGATTTTACTGGTCACATATGCCCATTGACTTTCACTGTATTTTGGCCTCACATATCCTGAATTAAATTTTTATTAAAGTCATATTGTAGAGATCTGTAATTCAATTTTACTAGTAAGAACTCCTGTTGTAGATATCTGCAGATGCATTTTGACTAGTAAGAATTTCAGGCCCATATATCCATAATTGAGTTTTTACTAGTAAAAATTTAATTGGAATTTAAATGAAAAACCTTCCTGAGTCCATCTGAGTCTGTAGTGTATGTCTCCAGCCTATGTACACTACATTGTATATTACATACATTGTATATTATATACATTGCCCACTATATTGTATAATAGCTTTGATGTTTTGTGTTTGTGCCCACACGGTTAACTCACATCCTTATCATGTTTGCCTAGTCAGTAATTATCCATTTCGCGTACATTAAGATGGTGGCGCAGGTGGTAGTGCTATCGTTCGGCAACTGGAAGGTTGCAGGTTCAAGCCCCGGGTCCTCCTGACCCCATCAAATTGTCCTTGAGCAAGACACTGAACCCCAAATTGCTCCCGGTGTGCAGGTTGGCACCTTGCATGGCAGCCTCCGCCCCCGGTGTATGAATGTGTGTGTGGATGGTGAATGTGAGGCATGTATTGTAAAGCGCTTTGAGTACTCGTAAGAGTAGAAAAAAGCGCTATATAAATGCAGTCCATTTACCATTTACCATTAAACCATACAGAGTTTCTGTGCAAGACATTCAGTAACAATGCACGCTGTGGAATACAAATATTGCAAATCGTGTTTTACTGAGGTGGTAGGCATGGCTTCCAGTTTCTACAGAATCAGGAAAGGGGAAAAAAACAGTTTGTTGAGAGGCAATGACTGGCCAAATGTCCTGCCAAATTTCTAGTAATCCAGCAAGTTGTTATCCAGCCAGCTGGCCAACATCTTATAATAATTATTATTCTTGTACTTTGCCTTGCAAAGTACGAATAAATGTAATGGAGGTAAGTGAAGTTGGCACTGTCATTCTGGGTGTTTTGCAGACCTGTTGGTATGATGCCTAGGGTGGGCTGTTTAGTGATCGACATAACTGTAGCGCTAGCATTGCATTAGTTTCAGTCAGCGGTGTAAGTACACCTGGGATATACGAACAGATACTACCAAGCAGACCAGTCAGGGGTGTGGCAGTCTGCATTGCTGCGATATGTAGTGTTTCTGGGGAGGCTCGGTACAGCGTAAGGTTTGCAGCTACACAGTACCTATGGTGTCAATCCCACGTCGAAGAATAAACCAGCCTTTGGCCTCATGTACCTTTTCCTCCTTTGCAGAAATACACACTCTGGAATACATCTACACTGCCCTGTCAAAGCCTGTGGAGGTTCCTGGTGTGTATGAGTTCACCGCCATGGGGATTCTGGATAACGAACAGATTGACTACTACAACAGCAAGAACAAAACCAAGATTCCCAGGCAGATGTGGATGTCTGAGAGACTGGATGATAATTACTGGGAAAAAGGCACTTCGTCTCGCAAGAGCAAGGAACAGTGGTTCAAA